CCCCACCCCAACCTTTTCTTGAAAAAAAAATGTATAGGAACTCACATCCTCCCGATTTATACCAGAAATACAATTCGCCCGCCAGAAAACGACACCACATCCATCAATAATCCCGACACAAGAAACAGATGGGCTCACACTAAGACACTGTCTTTTATGAACAAATGCTAGTCGTACTGATAGTTAGCCAAGACGGATTCGCCGCCAATATTTATGCTTAGTGAAGCCAGCTTATCTTTTCAAAGCAGCGTTGTCTGCAGTAGCTCCGTGTATTATTCCACATGTAATTATAAGCTTGCGTGCATTCATAAAAACCACAGTGCTGAAACCCAGCCTCTTTTATTTCACCCACCCCTACCCTTTGGATATAAAAGTCCAGTTAGCAGGTATACAAAGGGTATATTGTGTAGTTCATACTTGGCGAAAAGAATTTGGAATTTGTTCATATTCCCAGTGCTTTCATTTCGTAGCATCCAGCGGACAAGTTAAAAACGGGATTAGTTGGGTGGCAATGTATGGGCTTGAGTGTTGGAGTCAATAAAATGGCGACACGTCCGTTTCTTTTCCGTTCTGGCAGACTGGGGTAAAAAAAAAATAGGGGTTGGTTGAGGGCGGCATGTTTCTTCTTCGTATATGGCCTCTTCTTTCACTTGTATTATTACCACTACCACCACCACAACAAGCACTATTTAATAAAAGTAAAGTACAGGACCCTTTTCCACGCCTTTAGGCGTATAGGGCATATAGGGCTAGACTTATATTTTTATAGACCAATCGGCACAAGATGGGTGATGTGGTCAGCATCACACCGGCCGCCTTTACTTTCCCGAGACTGCACCCATTACACACTAAGGGCTGAGTCGACCTGGGAGTCAAGGTCATTTTTTTGAAAAATGGGAGCGAACCCACGACCTTCCGATCCGCGGCGAGCGTCTAGCCGCTCGGCCACGGCGACTCCCAACAAGCACTATTACTACTACACAAATACGTTATCTGCTTTGCCTTATCATTATCTGCTATTACTACTACTAACATTACTGCTGCTGCTACTACTACTACTACTACTACTACTGCTACTACTACTACTACTACTACTACTACTACTACTACTACTACTACTACTACTACTACTACTACTACTAAGAACAATTTTATATACTACTACTACTTCTACCACCACCACAACAACAAAACTACTACAACTACTACTACTACTACTACTACTACTACTACTACTACTACTACTACTACTACTACTACTACTACTACTACTACTACTACTACTACTACTACTACTACTACTACCACCACCACCACCACCACCATCACTACTACCATTACTACTGAGATATTTCGCAGTTAGCCTGTTGATTGATTTCACTGATATATTTTGACAGTTTCTGTTAGGAACCAGATAATGCTACTATCAGCCAAATAAACAGTGCAATGACTCGTAGCAACATGTCAGCGAAAGCTGAATCTTGTTCCTGTGTGAAGATGTGTTGCAAACAGGGCTGTACAAAACATTCGCTTCGTATTCGCTTCAGGGCAGAATAGTGAACCGAATAAGTTTTCAGTATTTGGCCGAATACTTGGGGTCGGGTCGAATAGGAATAGTGGTTACGTTACACCCGCTTCTGCATAAATTGCGGCTGCTGCAGTCACTGCGAATTACTTATTATAATACTTAGAATACTTTCATTTCTCGTTACTATTTACCACAGACTAATTGAAGGATGCAAAACATAAAATATTTTTTAATGTTTACTAATCAGTACCACATTTTGTAAATTAAAAGTCCATCGTACATTTGACATTATGAATGTGTGTGGGTTTTTTAAGATCTATTTTATACACTATACACTACACGTATTCGGCTGAAAAACTGGTAGTTATTCGTATTCGCCCGAATAGTGATAATAACCTATTAGGTACAACTCTAGCTGCAACACATCAGAGGTTGTTTAAAGTAATATCCAATAGATACGCTTGTTTTCTTCTTCAACGTTCTCATGGAAAGTCGCTGGTAAAATAAACGTTTGTTTGGGGGGACCGATGGAGGTAGAGCGAGTAGGACGAAGAAGAAGAAGAAGAAGAAGAAGAAGAAGAAGAAGAAGAAGAAGAAGAAGAAGAAGAAGAAGAAGAAGAAGAAGAAGAAGAAGAAGAAGAAGAAGAAGAAGAAGAAAGAAGAAGAAGAAGAAGAAGAAGAAGAAGAAGAAGAAGAAGAAGAAGAAGAAGAAGAAGAAGAAGAAGAAGAAGAAGAAGAAGAAGAAGAAGAAGAAGAAGAAGAAGAAGAAGAACAATAACAACAACAAAAATAACAAAAAATAACAACAACAAAAACAACAACAATATCAGCAAAAACAAGAGACAAGGAGAAGACAATATAGATAATGCACTGACAAAAGTTAGACTGCTGTGCTTATGTTACGTATCTACAACTGCACGGGCTGTCCCACCCATCCCCTCGTCCTACCTCCCCCAAGTCATCCTGCACAAGGACCAGACCCAGGAACGAGTTGCCGAGAAGAGGACATTTCCTGCTGCTGTTGCGAGAACCAGACCGGCTCCTAAAACAAACTGAACCCCTCTCGTCGAGGCCGGGACAAGCAAACAGCAGCCTTTGGATCAATACACCTGAAGCTCTATCCACCTAGTCAACATTCAGATCCTTTCACTTGCTCTCCGGCTAGAGTTTGCATGACATTTCGACATTTCCACACACATTGGCCTTCGGTCGGTGTAGGGGTGTCCGATTTCCCCTCACTCTCCGACCGTCTTAAGGACAGGGATGGTGACGAGACTAAAGAGTCCTTTGTTAATTCTCCAGTGCCGGTAGGAGTGCTCGTTCTTTTTTTTTGTTAATTCTTATTTTATGCAGCGTGCCAAAAGAAAATTATTTGTCAACTCCTTCTTCTGCTTCTTCTTCTTTTTCTTTTTCTTCTTATTTGTATGAATTATCATTTCACAGTTATCATCATTCTAACTATCTTCTTCTTATTCTTTTCTTCTCCTCCTCCTTCTGCTTGTTTTTTTCTGTGTCTTCGCCTTTTCTTCTGTCTTCGACTTCTTTTTCTTTATAACTGCCTCACCATTATCTTTGCCACTATCTTCTTCTTTCTTAATTTCTTGATCCGTGATTTTGGTCAGGAAGAGATGACGAAGTGGTGCTGCTGTAGATTCATGTAATAAAGTTTAAAAAGTCGAGAGGATTGACTTCACTTCCCCTGGTTTCATCCCAAATAGCTCGGTCTCTCTCCGAGAATTGGCTAGCCGCCAAACGTGTAATGTGCAGATGAAGTGTCTCTAACCGCAACGTTCACTTGTCACTTGTGTTTGTGATAATGTGGAGCTGACTGGTTCTACTTTTCATTTGCTGTCTTTGTTATAAGACCACTAACACTTACACAAGAGTGACTAGCCGAGCGGTTACAACGTGGGACTATCATGCGGCAGACGCGGGTTCGACCCCTCCCCCTCCGGTAAGGTGATGGCGTCTTTTCTTTGTCGGGGTTAAGTTAAAGATCCTAACCACTACAGTCAGCACTAGCCACGCGGCCCTAAAACCTCAGGCTCACAAAACTCGTGTTTACACCGCCCTAAAATGTAATACATACAAACAGAAGTCATAGCTGTTAACACTTACAAACATGATGCATGATGATGATGATCCTACCCACTTAGCATGAACTTCATATGAAGCTATTACCACATTTTTTAACAAAAGACATCACCAGCTTTTACAAAACCGAAAAAAAAAAAAAAAACTCAATGAAATGTAAATCACAAAATGCAGGTATCAACGGATCAATAAATTCAAAAGGATAGTTTTTACGAAACAAACCAAGACACACTTAAAAGATGACAACGGTAGATGTGAATAAGTCAAGTGTGACCATTTTAAAATTAAGGAAAGGGGTTTATGCGTTAGCCGAACTTGAGAATGCAGAGACACTCTGGCGCATACGCACACATGTAAAGCCAATGTGGCCCAAGGCTGGTGTTAATGTAATTATCTTTCCTGTTTTATGCACGATACAAAGATGATTTAAAAAAATTCAAAGATGGAAAAGAGATAAGTGTTTCATGTTCGAAAACAAGACAGGAATGTCAATAGCTATACAGATGAACATTAAACATTTGTTATTGCTAGTTAGAACTTTTAAAAATATGGCATAGTCCTTTAACATTGTTGGGGAAATGATTGAGTAAATTTTAAAGAAAAAATCTTCATTGAAGTCGCCACAGGCCTAGCAAGACGGTAGTGGATGTATTATGGCCACTGGAGAATACAGTGAGACATAAACGGACTGATCAAACTTTATTCTACCATATAACAGCTCCCCGTGCCATTGTCAAGGCTACAAGAAGATCAAGAAGTAGAACCTTGTACCTCCCTCGACACCTGAAGTGGTTAAAAAAATGAAGAAGAAGAATACAAAGAAGAAAAGGAAAAAAAAAGATTAAGAAAAAAGAAGGAGAAGACAAAGAAGAGGGAGGAGGACAAGGAGGAGGAGGACAAGAATGAGGAGGAAGGGAGGAGAAGAACAAAAAAAGGAGAAGAAAAAAAAAAGAAGAAGAAGAAGAAGAAGAAGATGAAGAAGAAGAAGATGAAGAAGAAGAAGAAGAAGAAGAAGAAGAAGAAGAAGAAGAAGAAGAAGAGAAAGAAAAAGAAGAAGAAGAAAAAGAAGAAGAAAAAGAAGAAGAAGGAGGAGGAGGAGGGAAAACAAAGAAAAAGAAGAAGAAGAAGAAGTAGAAGAAGAGGAAGAAGAAGAAGAAGAAGAAGAAGAAGAAGAAGAAGAAGAAGAAGAAGAAGAAGAAGAAGAAGAAGAAGAAGAAGAAGAAGAAGAAGAAGAAGAAGAAGAAGGAGGACGAGGAGGAGGAGGAGGAGAAAAAGAAGAAAAAGAAAGAATAAGGGCAAATATAATTATATGCAAACACTTATATATGGCGATGAACATATGAATTGGTTTTTTTTTATTTTAAAAACTAGGACTCACCGTAAGTATGCAATCTCCTACACGTCGATTTTCAGCAATTTTGATACTGTAGAAACTGGTTTCAAACTCTGGTTCCTTATTATTCACATCTCGAACACTGATGGTCACCTGGGCACTGCCAACTCTGGGAGGGTCTCCCCCGTCCGTGGCCTGGATCACCAAAACTGGCTGCGAACTCAATTCGCAATCCATTGTGGATCGGGTAGTGATAACGCCTGTGCTGGAATCCACAGCGAACCATCCCATGTGTTGAGTGCCATCTTGAATCTGGTAGGTAATCCGCGCGTTGATGCCAGTATCGTTGTCGAATGCAGATACTTTGAGAACTTCAGTACCAACTGCTACAGTCTCTTCAACTTCTGCAGCGTATTCTGACTTCTTGAAGACAGGAGGATTGTCGTTGATGTCATCAATGATAACCTTAAACACTTTGTTAGCTCGGAGAGGTGGGTTTCCAGTGTCGGTGACCTGTAGTGTCATCTCGAAGCTTGCAATACTCTCTCGGTCCAACTCCAGATCAACGTACAGACCTAGCTGACTCTGTACTTTCTTTAACGTGAAGTAACCATCACTGTTGTACAGTGAAACTTCTACATCAGAACTGACATCAATATCTGGGTCATCTACGTCAATCATCGCTAACAGTGTCCCCTTGGATGTCCCTTCTGGCACATGACCATTGGTGAACTTCGGCAAGAACTGTAGGCTGATATTCGCTGGCTGCTCATTTATGTTCTCGACAATTATATCCAAAGCTGCTGTACCCATCTGCGGGGTCGCTCCATTGTCCCGTGCTTCAAGAGTTAATGAAAATCTGTCGTGGGTTTCATAATCCAAAGGCTTGTTAACTCTTACCCACCCGGTTGTTGCATTGATAGTAAAATATTCCTCCGGATCTGACCTGTGGTCAATGGAGTAGATAATTCTGCCGTTATCTCCAGAGTCGATGTCTGTGGCGTGGACCTGAATAATCGAAGTTCCCACAGTGACATTTTCTGTGATCTTAGCAGAATATTTGCTTGTGTTAAAAATAGGTTCATTATCATTCTGATCAATAACATTAATGTTTACTTGCATCTGGGAATACTTTCCTCCTCCATCTGTGGCACGGATAACTAAATTATAAACACTAGTCCGTTCATAATCTAACTGATATGTATTAACAACAAGATCTAGGATTTTATCCACATTGCTACTGCTTTTAATCTGAAGGACAAAATCGTTATCTTCATTCCCAGAAAGTATTTCCACTTTTTGTGTGGTATTCTCACCTAAGTCCTCATCTCGAACACTTCCCAATGGAATCTTGTATGTTGATGGTGCAGATTCTGAAATGTTGAAATTCTGAACCGAGTTTGGAAATGTTGGAGTAATATCGTTGACATCCAAAACTTTGATATCCACAATGACGAGTTTAGGACTCACGAACGATGTGCTAATAATGATCGTGTGGTGGTCCTGCTCTTCCCGATCAAGCTCACCTTTGGTGATAATCCTGCCAGTTTGTACATCCACACTAAAACTGTTGATGGTTCTGTTGTCAGTTGCTTGTGGCATCCATTTTGCATACGGTGGGCTGAACTGTGTGCCCCGGACTTCGCCAACCAAAGTGCCATTTGGAGCATCTTCTCGGACACTCAAGCTGAAGTTGAACTGCTCCAGTGTCCCCTGCTGACCATCAGCTAGCGGGAACGGAAGGAATGATAATACCAGCAACCAAAGAGGTACGCAGGTCCTCAATCTGTAAGACTGACAAACAAATGAAGCCATGGTTCCTGGCACATGCAGTACTCTGATGCTCCTGCATGGAACAAGTCCAGTACCTGTCACAACCTCCACCACCTGCCTTGAGGATGTGGTGCCTCATAGTCTGCTTGCGTGTGTATCCACATGGATATATCTTTAAGGTATCCAGGTAGAGAACTGAATGTTTCTCACAATCATCAACACGCCTTTACACGTTTGGTTTCTTCTGCTGTCTGAAAACAAAAGTTATATTTACGTCACAACCAAATAATTAATGAATTAATACAGTAACAGCAATACTTAATTATTGTGTCTGTGGGTTACGGACACCCATATGAAGCTCACAGAATAAAACACTTCATTCTCCTTCTCTTGTTCTCTTAAACCACACCACTTATATCTGCAATTGTGTCTCTTTTTTTCAAAATGTAACTGTCTTTTCAGTTCGCTTACTGGTTCGTGAAGATTAACGTCGACTGTCGATTGCAACTTACTTATTAAAATAATTAGTGTGTCAGTAGGTAGTCAATGGTTTTTGACATATTTAAGAAGAAATGGATTTGAGAACTTGGCAACAACTGGCACGATTAAGGGACAAAGAGCAAGGGGTAGGCAAGAGATAAATAAATACCTGGATGGCTTGGCCAGATGGATGCGGCGAGGAAAAAAAATTGAACTGATCTTGATTCTGGTGATCGTGTGAGATGGTGAAAGCATGACAGCTTATGCTTACTGCATAGCACATGATGATGATGGTGATACTGCAGCCTACCACAAATGATGATGATGATGATGATGATGATACTAAAAACCTATAACACATGATGATGACACAGCAACCCACCAAACACGAAAAAAGTAGTAACTTAGGAGGGTTCCATTGTGTAGAGTAGTATCAACAATTTCAGTTGCAAACTGCAGTCAATGACCACAGAGTATATACCAAAGATTTGGTATCAGCTGCTGGAAGGTCAATGCTAAACTGAGAAGTCGAAATACAGACGAAGTAGAAGAGGAAGAATGTGTACCATTTGCAATATATAACAGCTCATCAATGGCTCATCCTCCCATGCCTTATGCATTTTCTTCTTCTTCTTTTTCTTCTTTTTCTTCTTCTTCTTTTTCTTCTTCTTCTTCTTTTTTCTTTTTCTTCTTCTTCTTCTTCTTCTTCTTCTTCTTCTTCTTCTTCTTCTTATACTTCTTCTTCTTCTTCTTCTTCTTCTTCTTCTTCTTCTTCTTCTACTTCTTCGCGTTCATAGGCTGTGAACTCCAGCCGAAAGTTATGGCTGTTTGTCCACCAGAACCTGAGTGTTGCGTGCACATCCGTTTAACAGATCTGACTTAATTGTATGGAGGTGGGGTGTTTAAACCTGAGGATTTAGGGCCGCATAGCAAGTGCAAAAAAAACACACACAAAAACTAAGTGACTTTACAAAGGATTCGAACGTGGCATGAGAGCTCAGCGGCCTAACCGTTCGACCAGCTGCTGTTTCACCAGTTACCGCGATTCACAAACATGATAACAGGTAACAAACAAGCGTTCGAGAACCCAACCTCAAGAAAAAACACATCAGACATTTCAACAGATAAAACCCATAAAGGAACACAATCGTTTTATCTTATGATTAAACTGGCAACAGAAATGAGATCTCCAGAAAGAAAACATTAACCTTAAAATTGTTTTCTGAGACCAGATCTAGCGATGAACGATCTTCTTTGTCTCTAGCCACATCTTAGAGTTGCTCAGATCTCATTTGTTCACTACAGGGTGTTAGGGAAAGGTGCTATGTAAACTGTCTTATACCTGGTGTAAATTGCAAACTAAAATGTAACTTCCTTAATTTTAAGTTTTTTTTTTTTTTTAGGTTTATTGTGATTTCTAATCTAAGGCTCATTGGAAATTAGATCTTTTGGAAAGATCCTTAATCTTTTTCCTCTTCTTCTTTGCGTTCACCAGCTGTAAACTCTGGTGGAAAGTATAGGGTTCTCGTCCATTTATGGACTTTAGTGCATGACTGGAGTTTTGGCGTGCACATCCGTGTTAAATATCTGGCTTACTTGTGTGCAGACTGTTAGTTCCTAGCACTCCGAGTTCATAGGACACTCCATCATATCTAGGTTCGTCAGGTCCCTGGCTAGCGTCTGTGGCTTAGGCGTTGCGATCTAGCTTCATAATTCGAACTACCCAGTTCTTCGAATCTAACTGCAGGCAGTTTGGCAGCCGACCGTTCAAGGGCAATGGGAAACTATGACGTGTAAAACTGCACCGAGATCTAGTGCCAATGATTTAGGGCTCACCACAATATACTAGTTCGAAAAATACAGGCATTTCTGGTGAGTCATACCGGAAACATGACAGTGCACTCATAACCTACTGGCTTGACTGTCGATAAAAAATTAACTGCTGTTTGTCGTTGACATGCTCCATTCTTACAGTCGTTGTCATTGTAGAGGAGCGGCTGGCCAAACAGTTAGAACGCTGGGCTGCCTAGAAGGAAACCTGGGTTTAAATCCTCGGTAAGGCTGGTGATTTTTTTTTTCTGTCAGGAGCAAAATAAAATGCTTGCCTGCACAGTCGTGGCGACAGCACTAGCCATGCTGCCTTAAATCCTCAGACTCAAAGACCCCCCCCCCCCCCCCCCTCTGCTTACACCGCAACAGTGACATAATAAAGGCAGTAATTGGCATTTGTCATTGCGGAGGCTAGTTTACTGGTGTCATGGGCCGACATGTATGCCTCATACTCTGTGTAAACACATCCAGACCCAGGGCATACAGCGCGGTTACACGTCAACTGTGGTTGGTTTTTAACTGTAAACTCGTTAGGTACAATATGGTTTTGGACATTTCATGCCGCGATGAGTTAGGCACAGGTCACGGATAGATAAAGAGTTTATCGTATCAGTATATTTCATGTGCTCTGCACAATGTGGCTGCTATCACAACCCTCTGGTCTCCGAGTGGCTTCCAGTAAGCGACACCAAGAATAGACCCACTGCCTACCCAAAAGCATGTCGTAAGAGTCAACTAGCCGGGAGTTTCCTTCAAAGTCGGAGTGTATCTGCCTGAAAAGCAAGGAACCAACAGTGTGCAAAAAAAAAGGATGTCAAAAGGATGCGCACGCAACACACAGGTTCTGGAACAGGACTGCAGTCCAGAAGTGGACGAACAACTTTCTTGGCGAAGAAGAGAAGAAGACAACACTCTGGAAAGATAATCTTTTTCTCCTTCTTAACTTGTCCTTAGAAGAGCAACTGGCGTGTTGTAGTGTGCCTGTAAAGCCAGACTGCGATATCCGCGCCTCTATGTCCAATACATCCGATTGCTTTTTCTTCTTCCCTCGTCATGTTCCGCCTTTCATCTCAGGTATTAAACAGACACCTCGGTATGTGCTACGTAGATGCTGGTATTCAGGGCCTGTTATATTCCATCTATCTAATGCTTGTGTGGTCGACCTGTAGTTCTGCTTCCATTATGTCTAAGTGATAGGGCTTTTTGTGGTGCATAGTCTGGTCGTTTGTCATGATACATGTCCGAACCATTTGATCTGTTGTCTCTTGTGGAAACTTGGTACTGGCTCCGTCCCACTTTCTGTACCGATATCGTCACTTCTGATAGTCTCTCTTTAGTTACACTCAGGAATCTTCGTAGGCATCTCATTTATGTTGTTACGATTGTCGGTTTTCTGTTGCTGTAAATGTCCACGCTGAGCACTGGTAACATAATGCTGGTGAAAATAAGCATTGACTAGTTAGTGTTCTTGTGGTGGCCTTAACCAACTCACGTTTTTTTTTTTTTTTACGTATCCAGAAACCATGAGTTGTAAACCCTTTGGCTCGGTACTATGGATATCGCAACCCTTCGGCATTGATTCCATTATAGGTACCGTTTAATCTGGGAGAAATGTGGCTTTTCTGCCTACCCCCGGGAGTGAACCCGGACCACAAGGAGTTCGTCACCCGGCCGCCGCGAAAGTCAGGTTTAACCAACTTCGCTAGACAGCCGGGAACCAACTCACGTTAAACACGTTGTTAGACTCTGTCGGTTGAATTTACATCAAGATTTCCACGGGATCGCTACAGGCTAAATGTTAGGGTGTAGGGCTTTCATGCAGCGCGCCCGGGTTTGATCCTAGGCGGGGGATATAATTTTTACCAATTCAAATTAATGAGGATGTTGGGTTGTAAACCGCCAGGTATCAGTCCAGAGGGGATAAATCTAGCGATGACACATTCCAAACACTTACTGATTTTCACATCTACTAAATGTCTCCTAGTTATTATAAATAGCACTTTTTTTTTAATTATTCAGAAATCATTAGTGGTTAACCCTTTGGCTCGGTACTATGGATATCGCTACCCTTTGGCCTTGATTCCATGATAGGTACCGTATATCTGGGAGAAAATGTAGCTTTTCTGCCTACCCCAGGGAGTAAACCCGGACCACAAGGAGTTCGTCACCCGGTCACCGTGCAGTCCGGTTTAGCCAACTACGCTAGAGCACTATAAATAATATTATACTGCGTTACACACAGGACTTTTGTTCTATGAAAACAAGCTGATAGTACTCCCCGTTTAAAAAAAAAGAAGTGTCGCCGGAATTCACCATAAAGTGTCTACTACAGAAGTGCTGAAAGAAAAATATGCTTAAAATAGGTGCCGGTACTGTGTGTGGTTGCGTACCATTAGGGGGGGGGGGGGGGGGGGGGGGGAACAGCACTCAGTTAACTTAGAAGACTTTTTTTTTCCGTTAAAAAACAACCGTTTGCTGGGACAGAACATCTTTGAGCATGGCCAAAGTGTGAAATAGTCAAAGTGTGAAATAGTCAAAGTGTGAAATAGTCAAAGTGTGAAATAGTCAAAGTGTGAAATAGTCAAAGTGTGAAATAGTCAAAGTGTGAAATAGTCAAAGTGTGAAATAGTCAAAGTGTGAAATAGTCAAAGTGTGAAATAGTCAAAGTGTGAAATAGTCAAAGTGTGAAATAGTCAAAGCGTGAAATAGTCAAAGTGTGAAATAGTCACACA